CCACTGGAGTTCACTGAGTTGGGGGTGAGGAGAGGGAACATGATCAGACTTATGCTTTAGGAAGGCCATTTTGGCAGCTGAGTACAGAAAGGATTAGAAGACAGAGAGCCCAATTAGGGGACTGTTGCAATGATACAGGTGAGAGGTGACAAAGTCCTGGCAATGTGATTACAAGAAGGGGACATGTGGGAGAGATTCTGTTGAGGGAGGAAGGATGAGATTTGGCGACTTGGATGGGTTATGTGGGCTGAGCAAGTGTAAGGAATTGGAGATGACAGTGAGGTGGTGAGCCTGAGGGACTGGGAGGATGGTGGGGCCCTCAGCAGTGAGAGTAGTGGGAAAGTGGGAAGGAAGAGGGGAGGGTTTGGAGAAAGGGTTCGGTTTTGGACATAGTGAATTGAAGATGCCTATGCAACATCCAGTTTCAGAGGGGCAAGAGAAATTTGTGATTCAAGACTGGAGCTCAGGAGAGATGTATATATTTGGAAATCATCTATGCAGAGATGATGATTGAATCCAGGGAAGCCAATAAGATCATTAAGCAAGATAGTATAGAGGAAGAAGAGGAGAGGGCCCAGGACAGAGCCCTGTGGGATGTCTACAGTTAGCGGGCATGAACTGGATGAAGACTGGCAAAGGAGACTGAGGAAGAGTGGTCAGATAGGTAGGAGGAGAATCAGGAGAGAAAGGTGTCCAAAAACCTCGAGAGAAGAGAGAGAAGATAGTGTCACAGTCTAAGGGGAAAACAACATGCAAACAACTATGTCCAAACATGCTATAGACTATATAAATTGGAGGTAATAAACAGAGGGAAAGCATTAGAATCAAGGGGAATTGGGAAAGGCTTCCTGTGGAAGGTGGGATCTTAGCTGGGACTCTTTTTCAGGAGGAGAGGCTGCAGTGAGGTCAAGAAGAATGAGGGCTGAGGAAAGGCCATTGGATTTGGCAACTCAGATCATTAGTAATTTTGGAGAGAATGGTTTCAGTTGAATGATGAGGTTTGAAGCTGGACTATAGTGGGTTTAGAAGAGTGTGAGAGAAGAGGAAATAGAGACACCTTTCTCATGGAGAGAAGCCAGCCAGTGGGTAGGGAGAGGCTAAAGATTAGAAAGTCACACAGCAAGGAAGTGTCCAAGGCTGGATTTGAACTCAGGTCATCCTGGCTGCAGGCCCAGTGCTCTATCTACCATGCCATGTGGCTTCACTGGGCTTGGGTTTCCAATATCCAGAACTTTCAGGTGCATGTACTTACCTTGTATTTGGATCTTTGTGGGTCCCTGGGTTCCAGGTAGAATGGGTCCCATTTCCTGTCTCTGCACAGGCCATCTGGAATACACTCCCTTCTCACCTCCATCTTGAAGAATCCCTGATTTCCTCCAAAGCTCAGCTGAAATGCCACTCCTACTTGAGGTTTTCCCTGATAACTCCTAACCACTAATGCCTCCCCCGACCTCCACCCCCCTCCAAATTACCTTTAAGTTATTTTATGTGCAAATTGTTTTCCCTGATGGAATGTGAGCTCCCTGGGAACAAGGAATATTTTGCTTCTGTCTTTGCATATAGCCAGTGCCTGGGCCATAGTGTGGAGACACTTAATAAATGTATATTGATAGGTGGATGGACTGATTGACTCCTAAGCAACCCAAAATTGCATTAGCTTTCAAAGATGCTGTTATCACATGGTTGATGCATGGGAAGCATCTTATCCCCCAGTCCTATTTCCCTAATTTTCCTTATTGTTAAGGGCACCACCATCCTCTCAGTCTCTTGGGCTCCCTCTAAGCCCCATACCCAGGCTGTTGCTAAGGCCTTTGGATTCCACCTCAGGAGCATCTCTCCTCCATTTCACCTCAGGAGCATCTCTTGTGGATTTCACCTCTGCAGTATCTCTTGTCCATTTCACCCCTGCAGCATCTCTTGTGGATTTCACCTCTCCAACATCTCTTGTCCATTTCACCTCCACAGCATCTCTTGTTGATTTCACCAGCATCTCTCCTTGATTTCACCTCTGTAGCATCCTTCCAGTGCCCCACCCCCTTCTCTCTTCTGATACCTCCACCCTCCTAATACAGGATCTCATCACCTCATGCCTGGACTATTGTAACAATCCTCCAATTGGTCTCTGCCTCAAGTCTCTCTTCATTCTAATTCATCCTACTTAGCTGCCAAAGTGATCTTCAAGTATAGATGTGACCAAGTCACCTACCTGTCAGTAAACTCCAGTGGCTTCCTATGACTCCCAGAATCAAATACAAAATCTTTGTTTGGCATTTAAATTTCTGTAACAACCAAACCCTCTCCTACCTTCCCAATCTTCTTACACTTTATTCCCCGTAGTGATACTGGCTTCTTTACTGTTCTTTGAACAAGACACTCATCTCCCAACTTTAGATATTTTCTTTGGCTATGCCCCTTGCCTGGAACACTCACCCTCCTCATCTCTGTCTCTTGGCTTCCTTCAAGTCTCAGCCAAGATCCCACCTTCCACAGGAAGCCTTTCCCAATTCCCCTTGATTCCAATGCTTTCCCTCTGTTGATTACCTCCAGACTATGAGCTTCTTGAGGGCAGGGATCATCTTACTGTCTTTTGCCTTTCTTTGTATTCCCATCACTTAGCGCAGTGCCTGGCACATAGTAGGCACTTATCAATGTTTTTTGACTTGACTTAAAGTCCTCACAGATTTTTTAGGTGAACTGTTGTCAGGACAAGTATACCCTCCCCATCTTGTGCTTCTGAAATCAAATTTTGAGCGCAGGTATGAGTCATTGATCCTGAGTTTCATCTCTTTTGAGATCAGAGCCCAGTGTCCTGACCTTCCAAGCAACATTATCTTTGGATGCCAGTCCTTTCACCCCATCTGTGTCCTCTCCCTCTCAGCTTGGATACTTATGGATACTGGGACCCGACAAGAGATTGTGTGTGAGTGGACACATGTGAACTGTGTATGCCTTGCGCGTGCATGTAGATGTATGCTGACTCCCTACAGGTGTGCAGGCCCATTGGAGCTCTCAGATCAGCAAGGCCCCAGGTGGGGAGGATGGGACAGGGGTTGGGGAGAAGGGAGCTTCTCCAGAGGTGGGAACATGTAACCTGTTGGTCCTGAGCTGCTTGGACAGAGCCCAGGGTAGATGCTACAGAGAGGGTACCAAGCCATGGCTCCTAACCTCGGAGAAGCCCTAGTCTGAAGGGGGGACCATGGAAGGACTTCTTGGAGACAGCATGATGCGGCTGTGTACAAAAGGGAGTGGGAAGGGGATACAGGGCTTGTGTAGGCCTGACTGCTGGTGTCTGATCTTGAAGAGGTCTCTATTTGGGCCTTTTGTTTTTCAGTCTTGTCTGACTCTTCTGGCCCCATTTGGAGTTTTCTTGGCAAAGATGCTGGAGTGGTTTGCCATTTCCCTCTCTAGCTTATTTTTACAGATGAGGAAAGTAAGGCAAACTGGGTTAAGTGACTTGCCCAGGGTCACCGAGCTAGTTAGTGTCTGAGGCTAGATTTGAACTTAGATTTTCCTAACTCCAGGCCCAGTGCTGTATCCACTGAGCCACATAGCTGTTTGGACCTGGTAGATGCTAATTGTGTCCTAAAACTCATCTTCTGGGACTGACCTGTATTGTTCCTCCACAACTATACCTGGGGTCCCTCAAGCCTCTCCTCTCATTCATTGTTGGGGAGAAAGGATGATGCCTGGCCTGGGGCAAAGCCCTTCCCCTCTGTGGGTCTCAGTTTCCCCATCCAGGACAGTTACAGAACATTAGTCATAAGCTGCAGAATATTAGAATGATAAGGGAGATCATGCCATACTTTGAAAGTTGCTTCTAGCTCAAGACATTCTGGAATCAGAGGTCATCTGGGTTATCCAGCCTCAGTTTGAGCATCTTTAAGTGGAGAGAGCTCACTACTTCCTAAGGGATTGTTAGAAAGTTTTCCCTGAGATCTTACCTTACTCTGACAGCTTTCCCCCACTGTCTTTAGTCTCCTTTCCCGTTGTGCCCCTCACCTTCCCCTTACCACAAGAATCAATGAAAGACACTGAAAGTCTCTGAGGGAAGGGGGTAGGGGCAGTGCAGGCAGTTTTCCCCAAAGTCAAGAGGTTTACTCCCCACCCTCCTCTGCCGCCACCATGTCTTATTATTATTATTTGCCTTTTTTTTTTGATGAGGCAGTCAGGGTTAAGTGACTTGCCCAGGTCACACAGCTATTAAGTGTCAGGTATTTGAGGCCAGATTTGAACTCAGTTCCTCCTGACTCCAAGGCTGGAGCTCTATCCACTGCACCACCTAGCTGCCCTCCTCCTCATGTCTTATTTTAAGGATTTGGGGCAAATAGTTCTCCCTACCCATGGCCAAACCTCTGCTTTCCCTTGTGGCCAGTAACTGTCCTCAGTTGGGAACCAGTGAATCCTTGTGCCCCCCCCATACATAGCACTGCCCCCTCGATGCCCTGGTTCTTGGCTCCTCTGCTATTGGCCTCCCCTACCATTTTCCACAGGTAAGAACTGTCTCCTTCCCCACCTCAGCCTCTGTTTGAGGAATGGTAACTCTCTAGCCACTCCTGGGGCACCCACCATTCAGCCTTAAAGGCCCCTTCACCCACCCCAGGATCCAGCAGGACACAGGAGTGGGGACCATGTGTGTGAACTTGAGTTTCTTCTTCTGGTTGTTAGGAGAGGATGAAGTCTGAGCCCTGATCCTGCTTGCCCACTCCCACACGCCTGATTGGTGAAGACATAGGAGGGGAGGCAGCTGCCGAATGTCTCTTCCCAAGGTCCCCCTCATCCTCCCTGGAAAGCCCGAATCACCCCATAGTCAGATCCCAGTACCTCAGCCTAACCATCACTGTGGGGCAGGGCTGCCCATCAAGAGCCCTTCACTTTCTCTAGAGACTACTGGATGTGGAAAGGGGAGAAATGGAGTGTTCCGCCTTGCCCTTTTACCTATGGCTCTTGGAGGGGAGCCGTCTACACCCATGGGCCCACCACACCACATCACACAGGGAATGTGCTTTATTGCAACTGTTTATTGCATTTTAACCTGGAGCAAATTGGCCCAAAGGCCAAAGGGCACCTCCCCTGGCCGTCGCGAACACGCACACGTGGGAACAAATACAACTGTAACGACCGGTCTAGCAGCTACGTACGCACAGCAGGAGTTGTCCACGCACACTAACATATGACTGACTGGTTTCCTTGTGAAGCAGTTGGGCTTTTTCCTTTTCACATTAACTACATGAATTTCTCTTGACTACATCAAAGAAGACAGAAGAGGTTTTACACAAGTAACAACAGGGAGACAGGGCACTGGAGTCACATGCTGGAATTCACCCAGGCAAACGAAGGTTCTAGTGGGGAGCGAGGAAGGGAGGGGGGAGGGCGGGAGGATGAGAGGGAAGAAAGCCCCTCCCCCCTCCTGCCTCCTCCTCTCCCTCCTGGGGGCCGGGACAGCCCAGTTCCATCTGTGCACAACCGACCCATGGAGACAGGCTGGGGTGGGCTCTTCTGGTGGGGAAAGGAGCCAGTGCTGTGGTAGAGAGACTGAGCCTAGCAGTGGGCTGGTCCTGGCCTAACCACCAGAGGCCAAAGTGGGGGAGGGACAGGATATACAGCTGCCCTGACCCTGCCTGGGCTCATCACCAGGGTCCCTGCCCTTCCCCTGGGCCTCTGGGGCCCAGTCAATGCTGCCCTTGCTTGGATGGCACTGATCTGGGCACATCCACATGTCCTCAGCTCCCCCGGCCCCTTCTGGGTGGCTGCTGCTGTTGGGTGGACCCGCCATGGTCACCAGGACAAGCTGGAGATCGCTTCAGCCTCATCCAGGCCGTCCCCAGCAGCCTGGAGAGCTTGAGCCAGACGCCCACAAGGTCATTCCACTTCCCGCAGCCTGGCCTTCCCACCGATGTCCCAAGGACCTCTCTCCTCTCCCTCACCAGGCAGCTCCAAGCGCCGGCCCAACATGCCTTGGCCCCACAGGGTTAGCAGCAAGGAGCCAAGCTCCCGGTCGAGAACAGCAGCAAGGTCAAGGCGGCTTCCTTTCTGGCCAGTTCCTGCTGACCTGCACCTTTCATCCCAGAGGCAAACTGGGGACTGATGCATTGCCTGCGTTGAGCAAAGCCAGGCTGAGCCCCCCGACGGATGCTGGCCCTGCCCATCCCAAAGATGGACTTCACCACCGACATGGCCCTTGCTACCGCTGGAGTGACTTCCGCCGTTGTCTCCCCGCTCAGCGGCCCAAGACGACAGGCGGCAGCCAGCTCTCGCTGGGAAAGCCGTGCCTCCAATCTCCCTCCACCTCTGCTGCCGGGGAGCCCTCCAGATGTTCACCAGGAGCCAGTGCACAAGGAGACCCTTTAGCCGAGTGCAGTCAGGGCCCAGACTAGGCCCACGGCTCTTCTTTCTTAGGGGCTTTCTAAGAGGGCACAAGCTTGGTGCTTGTCTGGGCCAGTCTCCCCATCTCACACTTGCTCCCTGAAGACACAGATGCAGGATGCCAGGCAGCAGGCAGGTGAGGGCCCTTCGCCAAGGAGCCTTCTGGTGGCCCCTTCATGGTCTTGCTGACTGGGGATGCACACGGAGCCTGGGCCTGGAAGCTCAGGGGGCCGCTGGGAGGAGGATCTGTCTCCTGTGAGTTCCCCCAGAGAGGGTTCTAACAACATAGACTAAAATACTTCCAAGCTGTGCTCCCTACACTCCTGGCCCTTCCTCCTCTCAGCCCTACTGACATCACAAACTGCCATCTATACCTTTAAAAGGCTTCCTTGTCTGTAACATGGGCCACTGGTCTTGGCTGAGTTAGGTACAGTCACGAGAAAAGCACAGATAAAGCGCACAGAAGATTGAACACTCCTTCCTGCTCCCCCAAAACAGTGTTCTTCTGTGGCACCCATCCACCCCCCCCCCCCACATCAGTGCCTCCTGCAGCATCCACACCCTAGAAGCCATGAACTAGGTTTGGCAAAAGGTCCCTTACTTGGCCAGGACATCAAATCGCTACTGTCTGGGGCTTCTGGGCTGGTCCTAAAGGTGGCTGTCTGTGTCCCCTTCCATTGCCAGACCTGGGAAAACAGGTAAGAATGACACGGGAGTGATCTCCCTTGCCCCCAGCCTATGAGCCGAAATCTTATGTAAAGGAGGGCTGTGAGAAACCAAGTTAGTTTGTTTGTTTGTTTTTTTGCATGGGGTCCCAACCACAGAAATTAGAAATAAGATTAAAAATCGTGCTCCTGAATGCTTTCCAGCTCGCCAAGTGTTTCCTTCAAAGGATGAAGGTTGTGAAACACAGATGGGCACTGCCAGCCAAGAAGCCGGGGCTAAGGCCTCCCTCCAAACTCCTCAGATGCGGCCTCTGCAGGGCCTGCTGAGCGTGTTCCGATGCCAAGGCCTGGGAAGGCCCTCCTCAGGGGAAGCTCTGCCCTGCTTGGCTGTACCAAGGGATGAGGAGCAAGAGCTGGGGGCCAGGGGATCCCAACCAGGTAAACTGAGTATGGCGAGGGGATTAGAGGAAGGGAGGCCGGCAGGGGCAAGCAGAGGCTTTGCTGGGCCCCCCAGCAGGGCTTCGTCACCAAAGATTCCCTAATGTCCCAGATGGTCTTTGGGCCGAGGACCAAGCCAAAGACAACCAGAGGCTCCCTCCAGCACTCGGCTGGCCCGTGAGATGATAGGGAGGGAAAGGAGGTGATGAGCAAACCAGACAGACCCTCCATTCTTTCCCAGTGGCCATGTCTTCCAAGGAGAGAGACTGCCAAACAGGCTGGGTCTGGGGTGTCTGTTCCCAGGCCTGGGATCTCCGTCTGGAAGGGCTGAGTTTTCACTGGGTGCTGCCGCTTCCACCGGGGTGGCATTGCGGAGGTTCTGAGGAGATGGCATACTGTCGGCCCAGGCGGGTGGCTCTGTAGGTGTCTGGTCTATTCCAGCCCCCAGGAAGCACAACATTGCACTGTCTTTATACATATAAGAGTTACAGGGATTTCAGATGGGGAATTCTTCACATGCCAAGGCCCCAGGAGGAGCTTGGGGTTCCCCGGGGAAGCCCGAAGCTCCCTGGGCCCTCGGCAGGTCCAGGAGCTCGGTGCCAAGCCCAAATACCCACACAGACTTTCCCATTTCCTTTTCTTTCTTTCAAGTTTTGGTGTGGAAAGGAACACTTGCCCAGGCTGGTGCCCGGAGGGCCTCTGTGAGCGGCTCCGTTCTGCCCTAGCGAGGAAGTTTCCTGGAGGGAGGGCCTGTGTGTGCTGCTGCTGCTGCTGGGGCTTGCCTTACCCTCGGTACAAAAGAAAGCAATGTGCTTGGAGGATTCCTTCATAGGGTTTCTGATATTTGAAAAAGGAACAAAAGGTTCCCCATTTTCCTTTGGTCAGCTCAGTCCCCCAATTCCTTCTGCCGGCAGCAGCAGCAGCAGCAGCGGTTTGCTGGCCAAGAGCCCCCACCCGCGGGGGCAGCATCAACCCTGCCTCCCCCAGGCTCTAAGGTGGAAGGAGAAGACAAAACCCTCTCTCCTGCCTGGGCAGAGGCTTTGTGCTGGTCAGCCGCCAGCCCACCCCAAACTGAACACGGCTCTACCAAGGTGCCCGGCTGAAAGTAAAAAACCAAGGAGACTCGGACACGTGCACACACCCACGCACGCCCACACACCCACAAAACCCTAGTTCTCCATCTGATGGTGTCTGCCTGCCTCCAGTTTCGAGCTCAGTTTATTCCCCTTAGGGAAAGCGCTCGTCAGTGTTAGCAACAAGAACAGCCACCCAGCCCCCCGCCCCCCCACCCAGAGCTTGGAGCACACAGGCAGGCCGGTGTCGGGTGTCCTGGCGGGAGGTGTCCCTGACCCCCGGCCGGCTGGCCCCCAGGCCCGTCTGCTTCACATTCACAGAATCACTTCTTGTGCAAAACAAGCAGTCTAAGTAGAAAGAATGCCCTTGTCACCCTCCTCATCATCGTTGTCATAGTCGTCCTGCTGATAAAAACCGTAGAAAAGCCCCCGGCTCCCTCGGCCGCGGCCCTGGCCACGCTCCCTGGCCCGCGTCTATCTGCAGTGGGAGGGCAGCTGTGCGTAGACCGGGTGGGCCAGCCGGACGTTGAGCGAGTCGTTGTGCTGGACCAGGGACGTGTGCTGGTAGTGCAGGACCAGCTCTTTGAGGCTGCCGTACAGGTTGTAGGGCTCTGCGAAGCCGTAGCCGCGGGCTGTGCTGTAGATAACGCAGTGCTTGACATCCCCGTCCGCCCTGCGACCCAGACAGGAGAGAGGCAGCCGTAAGGGACAGTGGTGAGCGAACAGGGGCCCCCCTCCCCAGGGAGCTCCCGGCTAAAGAGCCCCCTCCAAAGGGCTCAGAGAGGCAGCGGTGAGGGGCAGTGAGGGGAGCAGGGGCCCCCCCTCCCCAAGGAGCTCCCGGCTAAAGAGCCCCCTCCAAAGGTCAACGGTAGAGAAATGGAACCCCTGAAGGCAAGGGAGGCTACATTTTAGAACTCCATTTTATGGATGAGGAAACTGAGGCTCCCAAGGCCCTTAACTAAAACTGTGACCTGGAAGCAGAGGCCTGGCAGCTGGGCCGTCTGACTGCTGGCCGGCTACTCGGCTGACTGCATCACACTGCTAAAAGGCAGACCGTTTCACCACACTGATCATGCCCACTAAGGAGTTTTAACCCACCTGACTCTGAGGCCCTCTGGCAAACAGACTGCAGCAGGAGAGAGGATGTGGGAAATAGTGGAAATGAGTGGCCCTCGGAGCCAGTAGCCACAGAGGGCCGGGGCCACCCATGGCTGGACTTAAGGGAAGGGAACGAACCACTGATGCTCCTTCCTGCTGTCACCCGGGCAGCCCGCGGCAGGACGGGGGCTCCGGGGGAGCGGTGGGGACGGCTCGGACCACCTGTCCCCCCCGGCACCAGCCTTGGCTCAGGGCCCCAGCCCCTGGGCAAAGGACACCTCTGGCCTGCACATCCCAGACAGCCACCAAAGTGAGCTGAACCTGGGCCGGGGTGGCCAGAGGAGGCTGGGCCTCCGAAGGCTTCCCTGACTCCTCCTTGGCACCACCCCTTCCACCCTCTCCAGAGACCCACAAGTGTGGCAAGTGAATATGATCTAAGCCCTGTCCCTGGAGCTGAGCTGGGGGCAGAAGCTGCTTCTTCCTGGCTTCTCCCAATCCCGAAACTGGCAGGGAGCCCTGAGCCCCAGGTTTCTGCCTCCGTGGGAAGGATAAAATGTTCCTCAGCAGACAGCCAAGATGGACCAGCTTCTGGCACCTGGACTGGCTGCTCGGTGTTTACCAGGTCAAGAGATTTTCCTCATGAAGTGGGAACGATTTGGTCTACACTGCCTAGTCTGAACTTCCCCTCTCTGAGCCTCAGTTACCTCGTTTGCAAAAAGAGGACTTGGATGATGTAAGTGGTCTGTAAGGACCCATGATCTCTGCTCTAGCATCTCCCACATCTAGAATGCAGAGCCAAAGCTCAGCCATACAAGATCAAAGGCTCCTGCCCGTTCCGACCATGCCTCTGTACCGCCTGCCCGCTGGCCAACGTGGGGAAGGCCAGGCCCTTGGAGGGGAGCGCCTGGAGCAGGGACCCAAAAAGCCCCTGCCCCAGCGTCTGGGCCTTCAGACCGCCTGGCAGCCGGCTCAGACGGCGGCAGAACAAGAGACTCACACCACGGAGCAGGCGTAGCAGCCTTTCTTGCTGCTCTCACGAATTAAAAAGGCTCCGTCTGGCTTCCCGTGGAGCAGGTCCTCCGCTTGCAGTCGATTGAGATCCCCGACAAACCATGTTTTCTCATCGTAATGTGGCAGATTTTCGTCTTCCTCATTCATAAAATAGGTCCTGTGAAGCAGACGTGGGAATGCGACCCCATCAGGCAGGCAGGGCTGCCCTGCCGGCCCAGAGGGAAGCCCTGGCCAGAGGGTGCTGCCCGGGTGGCCCTGCGGGGGGGGGGGGCCCGGCCGGGGGGGGGGGGGGCCGGGGGGGGGGGCCCTGCGGGGGGGGCGGGGGGGGCCCTGCCCGGGCGGCCCTGTGGGGGGGGCCCACAGAGCACAACCACAAGCTCCCTTCCCAGCTGGCGCCCCCTGCCCGAGTGCTGGACCGCGGTTCTCCCACTCAGCCCCCAGAGGCACTTACTCATCAATGTGGTCATTTTTGATTCCCAGCCAGTCATTGAGTCGCTTCTGTCTCACCCCTTTGTGACTGAGCCATCTGCAGAAGGGAGAAGAGACTGGAGATGCGGCCTCAGTCCAGTTCAGGCCCCTGGCCTGTGGCGGTCCACCCGAGCCCTGCTTCTGGTCAGACCGGACAGGATGGTGCCAACCACATGGGCCAAAGAGTGTGCCCCACCAGCCCCCTTTTCCTGATCTTCCCACAGAAACTTGTGGCTGCTGGTCCCCAGGGGTCCCCAGGGGCCCCCAGCGGCCAGGACTCTCCCGGCTGCCCAGCATCGGCTTCTCCTGTTCCGGGAACCACAGAAGCAGCTGAGCCTCCTACTTCAGCTTGGGAGGGCCAGTGGGAGGGGGGGAAAGGGAGGAGGGGGCAGGAGAGGGAAGGGGGAAGGGGGAAGGGGGCAGGGGAGGGGGGGGGGGAAGGGGGGAGGGGGGGGGGGGGGGGGATGGGGCAGGGGGGAGGGCCCGCCCACTCACACCAGGTACTGGTCTCGGATCTTGCGCAGCTGAATCAGGTCAGGTTTGATGCTGTTCATCTTCTTGTCAGTTTCCCGGTTATCCAAGGCTTGCTTCTTCAGATCCTGCTCCAAGCGCATTTTGCTATCATGGATTTCGCCCAGACGCGATTTCAATTTCTCATAATTCATCATTATCCTGGGAAGACAGGAGGTGTGTTATGGACAGCAGAGTGGGTAGGAGAGGTGGGGGAGCCTAGCGAGAGGGGCCAGGCTCTGACGATCTTTGGGCCAAGCGGGAGGATGCGTGGGGGCTGTGGCCAGCCCAAGGACACCCCCTGGAGCCTCTGTTCTAGTGGTGACCAGCGGAAAGGCTGCGGGGGCCCTGGGAGCTCCCCCGGAGCTCACTCCGGATAGAGAGCCTTTACACCTGTTCACATCACCACGAGCCCCCAGGGACCCAGGATGGTGCCAAGCCCATCCAATCCAATCTATTCCAACAAGCATTTATTAAGTGCCTACTGTGTGCCAGGCTCTGTAGTAAGTGCTGAGGATACAAAGAAAGGCACCAACGTGGTCCCTGACCCACACTTTTGCCTTTGCCCCCTGCTGTCACCTTCTCTCGTGCCCCAGCTTCCTCTGTCTCTGTGCCCCTGGTGCCCAGCACAGTGCCAGACAAACAGTGGGCACTGCTAACTGCCTGCCTCCCCTTTTTCAACAAAGGTCTGCATGTGCCCCTGATGCCCCCTCAAGTGCCATCCTACCCCCCTCCCCCAGTTTTATTGCTGCCTTTTCAGAGGACCTTTCATGGTGACCAAAAAACTAATTTCAGCACAGCCGGCAGCGACTGATGGCATGGATGGATGCAGGAGGAGGGAGGAGGGAGGAGGGAGGAGGGAGGGAGTGGGGATTCACTAAGACTTCGGAGACTGGCCTTTGGGAGCAAAAGTTTACATTCTTGTCCCCATCATGGCACGAGCTTCCTCTGCTCTGGATCTGTTCAGACAAGCCTTCCCACATTACACTCATGGACCACAAGCCGGTAAGCCACAGCCCCATGACGGCTTGGCGACAGCTGTGCGCTGGGGGCAGGGCACTGGACGTGGTTTCAAAAGAGCTGTGGGTTTGAATCTGGTCTCTGACAATGACTAAACTGGGTCACCTGTAGGTCACGGCCCTCTCTGAGCCTCAGTTTCCTCATCTGTAAAATGCAGAGGCTCATGTCTGCGGGACTGTCCTCCCAGGCTTCTTGTGAAGCTCCAAGGAGATGATGTCTGACAGAGCCCTAGAAACGTCCATCGTCATTGTCATTGTTTCTAGGTCTCTGCTACACAGAAACTGTCAGTCGCCACAAATATGCCGGTGCACAAGGACCTTTCCCTCTTCCTTGACCTCTGGCAGCGAGCAGAGGGGCCTCTCACCTAATTCCGATTGTTCTCCACACAGCTTCCACCTCCCCATGTCTCCTTCCTTTCCTGACACATTGCTGACGGTAGTCTGTGCCTGCTGTCTATAGCTCAGAGACCCCCCCCCAGGGAAGATGGCTCCCGGCCTGTGCTCCAAGGATTCTCCCAGGGTCATCAGGAGCTGTCGCACCCCCATCCTGCACTGGGCCTTTGCCAGCCTCCTCTAAACTCCCGGCTCTCCCTGGCTGACCCCTCTGCATGTCTCTCCAGGCCCGGCCTCCAGCTTAACTCCAACCTTCTATGTGCTGGAAGCTACAGAAATGAAAACCAGCCAGCCCCTGCTCTCGAGGAGCCGACGGCCTGCTGTGGCCCAAGGTCTAGGCCGAGCACTGGACTCCAGAGGAGCGCCGCCATTGCCCCCAGCCCTCCCAGCCAAGTTGCCTCCTCCCCTCATCGGCTTCCCTGCCTCGGTCACTGACATCACCGTCCCACCCTCCAATCAGTCAGTCACCGAGGTCTGTCAGTATCCTCCCCTCCATTCCTGGGTCACCTCCAGGGCCGGGGCCCCACGCCTTCCATGACTGTGTGCTGCCTCCGAGAACCCCCCCACCCCCCGCAGCATCCACACCACTGAGTGACGGGCAGCCTCCCTGAGGAAAGCAGCCTCCAGGCAGACCTTCCCCGTGCCCCCAGCAGGGATGTCCTGTCCTCCAGCTGGGGAGGGGGGGCACAGGTGCCCCCGGGGCCACTCACCGTTCAATCTCCTTTTCATTTCCCTCCCTCCGAAACCGCTCCATGTAGTCTTTGCTCTGCCGCTCCTGGGTCTGGCACTGCTCCTCAAAGATTTTAATTGTTTCATTAAAAGCTTCGATCGCTGTCCTCTTCATCTGAATTTCCTATACGAGGAAAAGAAAGAAAATGGAACCTGTGAGGTGGGTAAGACCAGGGTCTGGCCTGCCTGTGCTAGGGGCTGATGCCGCTATAGGCCTGAGCCCGCCAATAGTCAAAGGAGGAAAGAGAAAGTGTTTCTGTAGCTCACAGGGGAGGGAAATCACCTCAGATAATAGCAACAACAATGATGATGCATTTATGTATCTCTTAAAGGTTTACAAATTGCTTTACTTGTACTCTTATGTCTCCTTAGATCTTCACAACTCTGGGAGGTAAATGCTCTTATTATCCCCATTATACAGAAGAGAAAACTGAGGCTAAGGGTCCCACAGTGTCTGAGGCTAGGTTCAAACCTAGATCCACCTCATTGCCGAAGGGACAATCTGAACCAGGCACACAAACCTATCCTGTTCTTTGGTTGTGTGGTTTTTGAAGGTAGGGGTGGAGAAGTAATTAAGGGGATGGGGAACAGGGAGGTAGCGGGTTCCCCAAAAGGCCATCGAAACCAGACCTTAGGGGGCTTGGCCTGGAGCCTCTGGGTGGCTGTGCTACTCTGCCCAGCTGTGTGTGTGTGCATGTGTGTGTATGTGTGTGTATGCGCACGTGCGCGTGTGTGTATGTGTGTGTGTGCGTGTGCGCGTGCGTGTGTGTGTTATTCCAAACTTAACAAACACTCAATAAAGTGGGCACTTCCAAATACAGAGCAGAGCAGAAAAAGAGGGTGCAAATGAAACCACAGATCGCCATTACAGACAGTTTGCTCTCCTTTGGAAGTCTATGAGAAATTCTACCTCGAGCTTTCACAGCTGTCCTGCTTGCCTTTCCTTCTCACAGGACTTCAGACGGCTCTTGAGGGGCGTGGCCGCTGGCTCCCAGGCTCCTGTCCACCCTCACCTCTGTCTTCACAGCCCCTCACTGCCCGTCACCTGCCCTTGGCCTCCACGGCGGCCCCACACAGGGCGCGGTACACCCAGGTGCTCTGGAATTCACCTCACAGACCATCCTCTTGAAACTCCTTCTCTGCCCATGCTGCGACCCTCCCGCCCACAAGCTCCGGTCTTCCCGTCCCCGGGCTCTGGCCTCACTCTCCTCTCTGTCACCAACCGTCCAGTCTCTGGCCGCACTGTCTTTTCTCTGTTCATCTCTCTCCCCTCCCAACATTGGCCTTCTCCATGTTTGCACACTTGATACCAATCAACATTAGGGGAAATTAAAAGCCAAGCCAACACGTTTACAAATTGCTTTACCATAATACTTCCTTTGATCCTCACAACAGCTCTGGGAGGTAAATGCTCTTAATTATTCCCATTTTACAGATGAGGAAACTGAGTCCTCTCACCCTCCTCCTCTCAGCAGAGGACCTCACCTCATATTCTACTGAGGGAAAAATGGAGACTTTCAGTCATGAGCTCCCTCTTCTCCCTAACTTCATGCTTCAACCCCACCCAGGTCCAAACCCCATCGCCTCCTCCTTTGCTCTGACCTGGGAGGTGAGATGGCTCGCCTTCTTCTCAAACGATGCCCTTTCCCTTGCAAACAAACATGTCTCCCTGCTCTAACTTTCACCCTCTCCCATCCACTGGCCCCTTCCTTACTTCCTTCAGACTCAGTCCAATGTCCTCCACCCCGAAAATCTTGACCTGAACCTACAGTTCCCTCCAAGTCAGCGTCTGGTCCCCGTCTACGCTTCTTCCTGCCCCCTCCCTTCTCAGCCTTGCAGTCTGGCCTCCATTAGTCCACTGGTCCACTGGTCCATAACCGCTCACCCCAAGGAGCTGATCATCTCTTCAGCGATGGATCCAGTGGCCTTTTCTCAACCCCCACCCTTCTGAACTCTCTGCATTCTTGGACACTGTGGACACCCCTCCCTCCTCACTGGGTTTTCATGACATTGATCTCTCCTGATTCTTCCGTCCCTGTTGGATGGAACCTTCTTTTCCTTTATAGGACATCATTAGACCCCTAACTGCGGTTGTACCCCATGGCTGCCCTGGACCCCACTCTCTTCTCTTTCTATTCTTTCTCTCTTGGTGATCTCATCAACTGCCATAGGCTTGACCCTCACCTCCGTGCAGATGACTCCCTGAGCCCTGGCCCCACAACTCTTGCTGGCCTGTCAGTCATCTTCACCTGGAGATCCCCAAGGCATCTCACATTTCCCCCTCTGCTCCCAATGTAGCTATTCTCAGTGGAGAGGAATGGACCACCACCCTTCCAGTCCTCTTCCTCACCCCCTACAGCCAGTGAGAGGTCATCTCTTGTTTAATCTGCCTTCTTCACACGGCCCTGTGCGCTCTACAACCACCCCAGCTGCCGCCTGCAGAACCTCTGTCCCAGACCACTGCAGTCCCCTCCTGACTGGTTTTCCTGCCTCCAGTCTCCCCCTCTCCAATCCATTTAGCTCACAGCCCCTCCCTTCCTCAAGAAGCTCTGGGGCACTCTGTCACCTCTCCCTAGGATAGGTGGATGGCTCTGGCTGCCCTGGGTATCCCTTGCTCTTGCCATGTGACTAACCCCCTCTTCCTGATAACACCCTTCATCCCTTTCTTCTACACTGGAGCTCCCATTCCCGATGAAGGAGCCGGCACCCGCCCACTCAGCACTTGCTGTCTGGTGCGCTCATCCCGAGTTCTGTAGGCAGGGGTTAGTACTGAAAAGCTTATGGGAAGCCAGGGGTTCCTGATGGCAAAGCTACCGTCCGCCTTCCAGCCCTGGGCCCAGCTCGCTGCTCCTCTGTACTATCTGTTCCAGATGAGCTCCATAGGCTGTCTGCCCATCCAGAATGATGTTGAAATCCGGGCAACAGACTCTTTTTATCCACTTGGTCTTTTTTGTGTGGATGGGCATGCCAAATTCACACTCCTAAATGTGTCTTTCCAGGGATAGTCTTGGACAAATGGAGCCACGTCTGTTTTGCGGGTGCCTCAAGCATCGGCTCGGATGCTCAGTGCCCACTGGCACCACTTCACTGCTACTGAATGTCACCTGGACACCGCCACCAGACTCCTCCAGAAGGAAGGGCCGGTCAGGAAGGCCGGCCTAAAGCTGGGGCTCCAATGAGGGATGGCTGAATAAACGATCCGCTCATTTCGAGTAGGTTGGCCCCTATAGCAATGTGGGGAGGCAGGAGGGGAGATTGGGGGGCAGGGTTATAAAAAGAACTCTTTTTCCCTGGAAATTTAAGACACAGCCCTCCGGAGGGTCCCCCCGTTGGTGAGCCCAGTGCAGGCCCCCACTTAGGAGCCAGGCTATGGTATAATGTGGTATAACGAATATCAATGGCTTCTATCCTCAGTCATTATCCAGATAACAAAATACACCCAGGGAACGTGTCTGAAAGCATTTTCTTGGATCAGTGCTCGCCCAGAAATGTATAAAGCAATGCCTGCAAACAGTCCCAGGCGTCATAAAAATTCCTAGCATCTTCCACATACCAAGCTTCAACACGGGTCAAATAAAACCAAGTTGGCCCTAACTAGGGAAGAATGAAAAGGAGCCAGGAAGCAAGAGGGGGAAGGGCCAGTCGAAACATTAACCCTCTCTGCCACAGAGCAATCTGTGACCAAAGAAGAATGTACCCATTGGCAGCTTGGATGTAAATCACCAAAGTTAATTTAGAGGATATGGGGCAGGCAGAAAGTCATGGCTATCGGCAGCTGAAGGTTTTGGCCCAAGCTCTGGGTCCTGAGGGTCCTAATGAGGGCGGGAGTCAGTCTGCTCATCTGTAGAATGGGGAAGACAAGCCCTGTGCCATCTGTCTCCCACGAGTGCTGCGCCTCCGACGGACCCCACCACCCGACTGTGAGCCAGGCCCTGCGCACATCCCCCTCTCAGGCTCTCAGGGAGGTGAGAGGAATCTGGTCCAATGCAAGCCAGGAAAAGGGTGTCCCTATCTCCCCAGGCCTGGACTTCCTGCCTCTGGGGTCTCTGCCAGCTTTCGAGCCAGGAGCCTCCACTTTCAACAAGTGGATGTCCAGCCTGCCCAAAGACCTCAAAAAGGGTCCTCCCCCCACCAGGCTTCAGAGGCAGCGGCCTGAGGCCTAGCTGTGTCTCAGGGCCACGTCTGCCCATCATAGCTCGCCCTCAGTCCTCCCATCTGCCATGCTGTGGCCCTTCACCAATGGAAGGCAGGGACCTCATGACCCGGTGTCTCCTTCCCAGGCTTCTGCCAGCCCTCCTATGACCTAGACTCCAGGCCCTTCTTCCCGGGTCTGCTGCCTGCCTGGGGACCTGCTCTGGCTCATGAGTGTCCTTTTAAAAGGATGGCGCCCAGAGTCAGGTCTGAGCTTAAAAAGGCCAGACAACCCGGGCAGACCCTGAACGAGTGAATCATTGGGACATTGAGGACAGAGGGCTGCACACCAGGAAGCTTCCCCAAGCCTCTGCCAGGCGCCTCGTGGCTAGCAACCCACCTGCGAGGTCCTGGTATACTCCTCATACAGCCGGTCATACTCTTTGCTCTTCTCTTGGTACTGGGAGTGGTATTCCTGCAACTTGGTGCCCACAGCGTCGATGTTGTCTTCTTTCACCAGCTGATCCTGCGCAGAGGAAGGAGGTGAGGCTCCCAGCAGGATACCCAGCCCTGAATCCTGGCCCTTCATGAGTCCTTGTCATCAACCAAGCCCATCAGCCAACAGGCCCCATGGGAAAGCGTGTACCCATCCTGTGCCCCCTCTGCTCACACTTACCCTGCACTCCCTCTGCCCACACCCACCCTGCGCCCCCTCGGCCCACACCCATCCTGTGCCCCCTCTGCCCACACCCACCCTGCACTCCCTGTGCCTGCACCCGTCCTGCACCTACCCTGCGCCCCCTCTGCCCACACCTACCCTGCGCCCCCTCTGCCTACACCCACCCTGCACTCCCTCTGCCTGCACCTGTCCTGTGCCCCCTCTGCTCATGCCTGTCCTGCGCTACCTCTGCCCATGCCCATCTCACCCCTCTGCATTTGCACATGATTTGCCTGAGCTCTGCAGCCCTCACATGCTGTTCTCCTTGTTTTACGTGGTCATCTCAGGGATTATTTCTTTAACACTCCCGTGTAACCTGTCACTTTAATTCAGTCTCCACTTGACAAAGATGCCAAGAGTTGGCACCTAGCCCTCGGTGACACTGTGTGTGGCCACGCAGGGCACAGGCGTGTGCTCTGTGATGATCCCAAAGTAGCCCGGTGCCGCCCGTGCAGCCTCACCTGCTGGTACCTGGAGATGGGGTACATCAGCTTCACATCGAGCTTGGGGTTGTACTGGGCCAGAGACTCGTGACGGTAGTGATTGATCAGCTCCACCACGGAGCTGAATGTCAGTGGGTCGGAGAAGCCATATTTGCCGTCTCGATGGTAAATCTTAATCAATTTGTTGTTGCCTCCCTTCCTGTAAAACACAATAATGCCCACTTGCATGAGTGGCCACACACAGAGAGACCTCGGCCTCGTGCAGGTGGGGACAACAGGGAGGGCAGGAGGGCCGAGCCTCTGACTCCACCCCAGGGATGGCTGACCGGTCCAGTGTGGATCTCAGCTCCCACGGGGATCATCACACCGCCTCCCCACTCATCCAGTGGGTCTGTGCAGATCACAGCCCACCCATGCCTTTCCAACCTGTAGGATCCTGTTCTCCCATGAGTGTGCCACAGGACACCCAGCCCCTGTGCCAATGGCTTCTCCTGTTCTCCATCTCTCAGTCCACAAGCATTTATTAAACTCTTACTGTGTGCCAGGCACTGTTCTAAGTACTAGAAATGCACATATAAGCAAAAAACAGTCCCTGCCTTCCAGGAGCTTCTGTTCTAATGGGGGAAGATGAGACATAAAAGGCATCTGGGGGGAGGTTGGAAGCTAGAAAAGTCCAGAGAGTCAGGAACAGAGCTGGGAGAGAGGTGACCAAGGATGACCTGGGTGCTCCCTTCAACGGTGCTCCCTCCCAGGCACAGAGTCAGAAAAGCCTGGAGGCTCAGGAACGGAGCCCAAGGGAAGCCAGGTAGGGACATTTGCATTCTCGTCTGTCATCCCCAAAGCCTGGCATGTGGTAGGAACAGAATCAATAGGTGAAAAGGTGGGCCCTTTGGAGAGAAGCTTCTGGGCATCTCTCCAAAACAATCCAACCCAGTCTTTTCCTCTACTTTAATTCTAGGGCAGCACATTGTCCTAGAATTTGCAGGACTTGTCCAAGACAGAAGTACTCATATACTAGCTCTAAAGGTGCTAGAGCACACCACAGTCCGGACACTTATCATCCACTTGGTTTTTCCTTTGTGGATGGTCGGGCCAAACTCTTTGGCGGGATCATGTAGTTCAGCTAGGAATCCTGCAATGTCCCTAGGCTTGATGCAATATGCAAAATGTCACCTCACACCATCCCCTGGGAATCCCTAAGCCCTATGGTCTCTGCCCTGGACAGTATGATGTCAATGGCAAAGCTCCTGGGTGAGCACTCATTCCTCTCCCTGTTTTATGCCATATTTGCTATTAATATCAGAGGTTTGTGTTTGGAATAAGGTTCTCTCTCTTGTTTCATCTTTCAAAGAGTCCTGGGGCAGGGTGAGGACAAGACAAGAAGGCCCTAAGGGGTCCTCCAGCGCTAGAGGCCGCCAGAGACACCAACTCAGAAACCTCAGAACATGACCCCAGGGGCCCTTGCCAGACAACTGAGGGAAGGAGTGTGGCTCAGGATCTCCTTGTTAATTAAGCTCCCAGAACAACGAGAACAGGGTAATGAATTCTGCTCGCTGTCACCTTATCTTGTCACAGAGGTGCTAAGAGTCCCCAGAAATGACTGTTTAAACCACTAGCACACATGGGCAACTCTCCTGTCATTCAGTTCTTTCCCCAGTTATGGCTTTTGTAGTTTCACATACATTTGACTGGCATTAGATCACTTTATTTAGGAGTCATATTTAAGTTTATAGGACAGAGTCCAGCCACAGCTAAACGTGGCCGGCCTGCGGAGCTCCTGGTACAACAGCCTCCAAGGTGCCTAAAGACTCAGCCATCCCCACTGGGCTCCATTTTTAATTTTAATTTTTGAAGAGGCAGAGGAAGGACATCCCACCATAGTTCCTCGAGGGCACACTCCAATGAACTGAGAGCAGCTGTGCCTCTTGTTGTGTGACCAAGGACTTTATCCTAAAGGCAATGGGGAGCCATTGAATCTTTAAGAGGGGGATAGTGGCATGGTCAGACCTGCTCTGTTCTGTGACTGTTGTTTGTCTTTGGGTTCTGTTTCCCCCCACCCAGGCAGCTGAAGTTCCATGAGGGCAGGCACTGGGAAGGGACTTGGGCCATGTCGAGGGAAGCCTCTGATCGCTGGATGAGGAAGGCGCCAGTGCCCCTCCCCTGGCCTGGTCAGACCCTGCCTGGGTAGCACCCTTTAGAATGGACATTAACAAGCTGGCGTGGGCTCGAGAAGAGAAGCCTGGCTCAGGCCACGAGAACTGGTGGTGCCGTGAGAGCAGAATGGACCTGGGCAGCCAGATCGCAGAGAACAGAGCTAGAAGCAACTGATGAGAGTCCCAGACAGGCAGGCAAGAAGGCTGTCTCCAGGAGTGGGGGGTAGGCCATTGCATGGAGGCTGGATGGTGTAGATGGGCTTTGCATTCAGGAACAGGCTGGACTAGAGGCCCCTGCGGACCCTACCATCTCTGAGATTCTGTGAGTGTCAGAGACTTCATCTTTCTCCCTTAGCACTCTGGACACAACTGGAGTTTAATAAGTGCTTATGGAATTGAAGTAGTTCCTTCTGTCACAACTAGGAAACAGTCTTTCTTTTTTTAGGCAATTGGGGTTAAGTGACTTGCCCAGGGTCACACAGCTAGTAAGTGTCAAGTGTTTGGTCTGAGGCCTGATTTGAACTCAGGTCCTCCTGACTTCAGGGCCGGTGCTCTATCCACTACGCCACCTAGCTGCCCCAAAACAGTCTTCAATACTGTCTGCAGTGATGCCTCCACCCAGGTCCCCAAGGTGCAGTGAGAAGAACTCCCTGCTCCCACCCCCACCAAGAGGCAAAATGAGCTAAGGTACTATGAGGGCAGGCCTTGCCAAAGCGGGCGCCTTAGGGGCAGAGGTGAAGGCCACTAGCACACCTTCTGGCCAGCCTCATCAGAGGGCCTGCAGTTGACCCAGTTTACTGTCAGGAAAGAGAAAAGTCTGTCCCTCCTTGGTGCATTCAAGACTACACAAAGCACCAGCTTCCTTTTGTGCTCCATAAAGAGCCCGATCCAGCGGCCAGAGGAAGCACCGCCATTGTCTGGCCCACAATTGCCCTGACGTTTCCAGGAATGCCTACACGGAGAGAGCACAGGAAACGGGGGTGGAACCAAGGGAAGGCCACGGATGGGGGGGCTGGGGAGAGGCCAGAGCCGTGCTCCTGGGGAGGTGGCAGCGTCGGCCCCTGTACAAGGGCCAGGCAGGCACTGCAGCCAGGAAGGAGATGTGGAGGGCGGCTGCAGTAAAACGTGGAGGACAGACCTTCTTTCTTCAGACCTTCCTCTGCAGAATGTTTCAGCCCCTAAGCCCCTAATAAATGTCTCTAAGTAACTTCGTAATTGGAGCTGGCCATGCTGAGCCTCTGCCCAGCACCCCGTGCTGACTGCAGGCTCTGTCCGGGACCTCCTCCCTCAGACACAGTGAATCACAGCCTTCGGGCTGGAAGGGGCCTTGGAGGGATGGCAGTTCTCTGAAACCTTAGGACTTTCTGTTTCTCATTAGCAAGGGGATGTATCAGAGGTGTGCTGCTGCCTTCCATGCTAAGGAGGAGCAATCTGAGCCGGACCTGGATCTCCAATATCACCACAGTGGTAACTTGGGGAGGCAGTGTGGCCTAGTGGGCTCCAGGCCTGCTGCTCTGGCCCCCTGTAGAGGGCTGACCCTCCCCAAGAGCCGCTGAGTCTTGCGTACTGTCCCCAGCAATCACGAATAGGCAGAAGGAACTTCCCGACAGCAGGTCCCTGGCATTTATCCCAGTGTTTGGCATGTGGTCAGTGCTTAATAAATGCCTTTCCATCCCATCCCATCCTGGCTGTGTGAACCTGGCCAAGTCACCTGCCTTTCCAGGGGCCAGGCGAGTCTTTAAGCAGAGCAGCTGACAACTTTCATCAGCAGAGGGAGCTTCTTCACCTGGGAGCTCCTGAGACCCATCCACGCCTTATAAAAACTCCAGCAAACGCGTCCCTGCACGCCAGGGTTTGCTGAGCGGCCTGCACCTAGCTTTTCTCTTTGGTCCTGGGCACCAACCTCAGCTGCATGTTACAGGAGAAGAGAGCCACGGGGAAGGAGGCGTCTGGCAGGCTGGGGAGATGCTCCCGAGATGCCGACGGAAGAGACGGCCCGTCAGTACCTACGAGGCTCCCGCCAGTAGCCGGAGGCTGCATGAGGAAAGCTTTGTGGGCCCTGCTGTCCTCAGCAGAAAGGCTGCCCTGTCCCACCCGCAGGCCAAGCAGTCAGAGACCCCCAGCTCACCGCAGAGTCAGCGTGTAATCCCCCTGCACCTTGGTGGAGGCATCTCGGACCAGGAAGGTTCCGTCGGGCATGTCTCGCAGTTTGTCATTGACCTCTTCCCTGGAGAGAAAGGGCAGCAGAGACAGAGGGAACAGGGTTAGTCTAAGGGGTGGCTGAAGGTGACAGAACCAGGGCCTGAAGAAGGCCCTCCTGAGGCCGTCTTGGCCTGGTGCTTCCTCATCTCATGGGCATCCTCATGGGTAAGCCCTCTCCCCACCCCCACCCCCCAGATTATCTCTGTTTCTTTTTGTTCTATTAGACACTCCAAGGGCAGATGATATGCCCTTTAAACCGGCTCAGATTTCAGATGACTGGGAGGTGGGGGAGCTATTGTTTCTCTTCAGCCTTTGGGGCTTTCTTGGGCAGGCCTGAACTTGTACGGCCTCCCAAGAACCAGCAGCCGCCCTCAGCTGCTGTGGGGAAGGAAGGCTCTTTTTAAGCAACAGGAGCAGCTGGGGTGGTGGCATCTTGGGAGCCAAGGAAGACCCGGGGCCGAGAGTGATGGGCAGCCTGGGTCCGAGGGCAGGTTTGCCCTTTGGATCAGGAGTTTAAAGAACAGGGTCCCTTCCCCAGAAACTGGGCCGGGTAGGACAAGAAGTTATCAGAGTCCCAGCAAAGCAATCACCTGATCTTAGCAAAGCCATTATGTTTGTAACCAAGACCGCCTGTCTTCCGTGGACGGCAAGACAAGGAAAAATCCCTTTCATCGGGCTACGACGTTGGACTCAATTTGAGAAGATGAAGGTCAACAGGGAGAAATGTAAAGTTTTACACTTAGGTTTAAAAAACCTCAGCTGTCCCAGGACAAGATGGGAGAGGCATGCTTGGATAGCAGATTGTCTAAGAAAGACCTGGAGGTTCAGCAGTGGGCTTCTCCTCCCTGGGGGCTGCAGGCACTGCATGGTCTGGGCTGGATGGCCACATGTGAGATGCTCTGATTCAGTCATCTCTTTCCACAGAGGGGAGCATGTCAGAACCAAACCAAGCCAAAGTCAGCCTTGATCTGATCCTGAGATGTCCAAGCAAAGCCTCAGAAAGCTCTGAGCGTTGGAGTTTTGTGTCTGCTGCCCCCCCCCACCCCAAGTCTTCCTTTGATGTGGAAGACACGACAGTGAATAACAAATGACTGAGTACCAGGTCACCCCACCCCCCTGGACTCTGCTCAAAGACGAGGTGTGTTCCTTTACAAATTCCTCCAAGAAGAGGAGCCCCTTCTAGCTAAGGTGGCCTTGGAGATTTCCTGGTCACTGCAGAGAAGCGTCCGGGCCTTCTGAGACCCAAGCTCTTATGAGGACAGCTTTGGCCAATGGGGAGAACCCTAAAATCTGAATGTGAACACCCAGAAGCCCCCGTGGAGCTCAGGCACTGCCACCTCCTTGGGGAAGCCAAGAGCACCCTGGATATCTGGGAATCCAATGCCCTGAATTCCAAAAGGAGAAAAGGTAACGTGGCGGTGGTGCCAGGGGCTTCTGCTCACCTTGAGATGTCTCCCCAGTACCACTCTGCGTCAGGAAGGGAAAAGCCCGAACTGTCCTTCATCCCATTGGCACCGGCTTGAGTCAAGGATTTGGGCGGCTTTGGTGGAAGAGCTAGGAGAGAAGAATCAGAAAGGATTTAAGGGCCACAAATTACTTATTGCTGACTCTTGATTTCCCTCACCTCACCCATTAACCCATGAAAAACTAAGTACTCAACATAGAACTGACAGCCGCGTGAGCGTTGGAAAAGCCCTGGGACCCTCTGGGCCACTCACACGGAGCAGGGGCTCCACCCAGGCCCCTTGAGAAGGCTGCAGCTCACGGGGACCTCTCTTCCTCCAGGGAAGGCTCATGCTCTTTTTGGATGGCCCTAGTCTTTAGGCAGCAACTCCTGATATGGAAATGAGATCCATATCTCTGCACCTTCAAATATCACGCCCTACCGGCCTAGACCTCAGCAGAGTAAAACAAGTCTGTCTCTTCCACTCTGCATACCAGTCCTTCTCCAAACCCCTGCAGACAGCTACCCCGCAGGCCCCTCCTTTGTGACTGATAGTCACATGCCATGGTTTTCTACCTGCTGTCTGTTCTGTAGAACTGACCACACGTGGCATGGCATGACCCATCATGGCCAAAATGACACCATCATTTAGAACTGCTTTGTCCTGCTGAACTTCCAGCCCACTAGGATCTCCAGGTCTTCTTCATACAAAGTATTATTCTAAGGAGCTTCTTTCCCTTTCTGGACCTGGGGCTATTTTATACTAAATGGAGAAAAATAAGCATCCTAAAATTCTGCTGGGGGATTAGGAGTAATTTGGGAATAACTAATTTTCTCCTCCCTAAAAACAATCTATTTATTTATACTCTACAAGCAGATGTTGATCTTTCAAATGCTGTTGGCCAGAATCCCCCTGAAACCACAGGTCCCCAAAATGGAAAAGATGCCAAATGCCCCACAGCAACTCAAATGTTCCCCACAAACAAAACACACACTGCAGTCGTCAAGACACTTTAAAAAGCAACAACTTCCTAAAACCTGAATTCTCCCATCGACTCCTATAAGAGCCTGAGTGCTTTTTTCATCTGAGGCGATAACCAGAGAGTTCTTTTTCAGCCTTTCAGTTCAGAGCCTCCCTTGGGCCTGGACAGTCTCCACCTCTGAAGCACACCTGACAAGTGGCCTGGGCTTCTGCCTGCCACCTGCCAGGGCAGCCCATTCCTCTGCCAGGGTGAGGAAGCTTCCTCTTACTAAGCCAGAGCGGGTCCTTCTGCAGCATCTACCCATCTGTCCTTGGTCTTCCCTTGGGGACCAACCACAGCACTCATGGGCTCTCTTGTCCTGGTAGTCCTCCAATCCACTGGCCCCTCTTCCAGGACGTCTCCTACAGGAGGTCTCCTGACTAACACACTGCCAGGCTCCCACTCGCCCTGTCTCCCAGCTGTCACCCCTTCAGCAAGCCACCTGGTTAGCTACACTTGAGTCCTGATTTGTTTCTTTGACCCCAGGAGGCTGATCAACTGGTGATAAACATTTTCATTTTCATGGAAACCAATGAAAAAAAGAAAGTGGCTCTCATTCCCGTGCATCCCCTTCTGCTTCTGAAGAGGATAGAGGGGGCGAAAAATGACACGGCTTTTAGACCATCCACAAACTGAACTACTGATGAGCTAAGTGTAAGATCCTTCCCAAGGACCAATACGTGGAAACATTGCCAGAGGACCAGAATTCTATCAATGATGACATTTTTGTTGTAAATGAAACTAGAAGAAAGACATTGAAGCTCAGTGGAAGGATGCCTGACAGGTGGATCTTGGAGAGGCAAAGAAAGGAGTTGGAGGGATGGGTCACGAGAAATATTATTTTAGGGGTCCTCATATGTTGTAGTACTAATGGTAAGTATTTGCAAAAAGTCCACCATGAAAATACTTATAACTTATGAACTAACACTGGTTACCAAGGACAAAATGGTTCAGAAATTCCATGAGAACTTGATGATTTCATGCAAATGTGGTAAAAGGTAAGGATGGGAGAAACATAAGGGAAAGTGTATCTCAAGAGAAAGAAATGACAAACTGGCAGATTCTTGAGACTCTACAGAATCTTCCATCTCTAGATCATGAATGCATTCTTAAAAAAAAAAAAAGGATTAATAGGCCCTGGACATTGTAAGCACCAGACACAACCACAGGGAATGACATAGACTACTTTGTAAAAGACAGGAAAATATTTACTATGGACATTAGAATTATCCCTAAGTCAGCTATCTCTAGACAGTCAGGCTGCTGAATCATCAGAGCTAAGATAAAAATTTTTAAATAAACAAGAATAGTCATGAGAAAAGATATGGTCTTCAGTTAAGAAGCCTTATCCCTGAATTATTTAAACAAGTGATTGAAAATAAAAACTGGGAAATGGACAACAGAAATGATACTGACACCAAGCGTTATAACTTCATCCACAGTTAAACCCACGTAAATTAATGACGACGGCAAGGAAGCCCAAAGATCTCAGAAAGCTCCATCCACGGCAAACATCTGCCTCACTTGCCAAGTGGAGAGATGTCTGCCCAAAGCAACGTCAGGTTAGAACAAACTTGTCTGGATGCCGATGAGTCATATTAGTGCATAAAGTAGAGAGAAGTGGAGGGGGCTTATAGAGGATATAACATAAGACAAGAATCTCATCCGAAGATGAGAGTCTCATAGCAGACAATGGAAAGGTGCTTGGGGAGGAGGAGCTGGCTGAAACCCAGAGACAAGAGGGACTCTATGGGAGAAAAGGAGGAGACAAAACATAGGAGAGGAAGGGAAGATGGGCCAGTCACATGGCAGAAGAGAGGGAGGCCATGTGGAAGCGGGAGAGCTCCACACCCACCCTCAAGATGTTGGGAGAAAAGGAGAACGGCTTCCAGTGTGACGGGCAGACCCTCAGTTTTGGGAAGACGTGGACAGGTGACTGAGCAGCATGAATCCACTGGGAACTGCATTGTTCAAGGGATGCATGAGACCACTGATCCACTTAAGTATTCCCAATCAATAGAAACCCACTTTGTTTTCCTGCTACCACAAAGTGTTGCCATGAATATTTTGGATTTTATTTCTTTTTAGATTCTGAACTTTGCACCAGACAAAATTAGCATTACCATCTACAAAACAGAAAAGAAAAAGACTGTTATGTGAAGCCACAAATCTCTATTATGTAAAGCTTGCTTCTCCTTTTAAGTATCTAATAAATGCAACATGTCTCTTTCAAAGCCGTCCTGCACATTTCTTCTAGCATTCCTTGTTTTCTAATGTTCATTTAAAATGTTTTAATAAGCCGCTTGTCTTTTGTTTTTATTAGGGGGGCAACCTTACTGGAAAGTCTCTTCTTTTTCCCAAGCCCCTCCCTTTAACAAAGGGGTGGGGGGCCCTTGTAGCAAACATGCATTGGTGAGCAAAAACAAATTCACTATGTTAGCCATGTTAAAAAAAAAAAGTATGCCTTATTCTGCCGTCTGAGTCCTCTGTGACAGGAAATAAGTAGTGCACCTTTATTATCAGTGCTCTGGAGTAGTGGTTTGAAAAAAAAAAGATTTGGATTGATATAATTTTTTTTAATTATATTGCCTAAATTTCTCTTATATCTCACCCCCTTCCCCTCCCAAAGGTTGTTGTTTAAGAAAAAGGGAGAAAAAAATCAGCAAAACCAGTGAGCACATCAAAAAAAAAAAACAAAACAAATCCAGTGCTTTATGCTGTCTTCCACACCCACGGACCCCCACGTCTACAAAGCAGCAGGAGCTGGTGCTTCCTTCTATCTCCTCTCGGGCCAAGTTGGTAATAACTGACAATTTCACAACAGTCGCTTTTGGCGGTTTTGTGTTTGCTGCTCTTCCGTTTACATCGCTGTAGTGATTATGTTGGATGTTGTCCTGGCTTTGCTCACTTCATTCTGCATCTGTTCATGTAAATCTTTCTGTGCTTTTCTGTATTCCTCATCATAGTTATAATTTTTTGCCACACTAAAATGCCCCACTTACCTTCGCGTGCCACCATCTCTCTCACCACTCCCCAAACATGCGCATTGACTTTGTTCCCAATTCTTGGCTACCACAGAAAGTGCTGATGGGAATATTTTAGTGTCTGTGAGATCTTCCCTTCTGTCTTTGACCCCCTTGGGGCATATGCTTAGCAGCTGGCTCTCTGGGTCAGAGGGGATGGATGTCATATTCATTTTACTTTCATAATCACAGGCTGCTTTTCAGGATGATCGGACCAATTCACAGCTCCACCAAAAATACATTAGCGCGAGTCTCTCTCTATGATTCCTCCAACATTAACTATTTCCATCTTTGGTAGTTTTTTTCCAATTTGCTGGGTTTGAGATGAAACCTCAGGGTTGTTTTGATTTGCATTTCTCTTGTCATGAGTGATTTGGAGCATTCTCTCATGTGTTTGTGAATACTTTTCAATTCTTCTTTTGAGAACTATTTACATACTTTAACCACTCTCAATTGGGGAATGGCTTTTGATCTCATATAGGTGTTTTTAGTTACAACATTATTATTGTATAAATTGTCCTCTTGGTTCTGCTCTCTTCTTTCTACATCAGTTCATATAAATCTTTCCAGGGGTCTGTGAACTGTCCCTTTTATAATTTTTTATGGCACAATAATATTCCATTACATTCATATATAATAATTTGACCAGCCATTCCGATGGATATTTTTGTACCTGAGTCTTTCCCCTTTGCCTTCGATCTCTTTGGGATATTGCCCCTCCCAGCTCTGCTTCTGACTTCCCAGACTTTGCCACCATGCCTCAGCTGCCTCTTCTCCTGGACCTTTCTGGACTTCTACACCGTGCCCCAGTATGAGTATCCCCCTCTCCCCCTTTTGTGTGTTGCCTTTCTTCAGTAGATTGTAAGCTCCTTGAGGGCAGGGACTCTGTTTTTACTTGTATTTATTTACATCCTTGGCTCTTCGCACAGTTCCTGGCACATATTAAGGGCTTAGTAAATGCTTGTGGCCTGCCTGCCTTTAGGCTCAGGCAGAGGTAGCCTGGGTTTACTGACTTTGGGGGCATGGTTCCAAATTGCTTCCCAGAATGACTGGTCTAATACATAG